GGTTTAATATACTGAAACCCTCAACTATTAGCGAATATCATGTTTTCAAAATTTTGAGTCCAAATTATGGGCTATTTTTGTTGGTATAATATTATTTTTAGATAAATGCGTTGGGGAATTCCCAAAATGATTTTTAAAATTTATAATTTAGTTTTTAGATTTTTTAAAACCTTCCTTATTTTTCTTTGGAAAGCTTGAAATAAGTTTGGGGGTTTTGTCTCACATTGGAAATAGAGTAAAACGTGGAGCACTTAATAAAGTGCTATATAGAATATTCCTTTGAATATGAAATTGTGAGATGGATGCTAGTGTGCATGCACTCACACAGCACATGCGCGTGGCGTGGCGTGAGCAGTGGGTTGTGTGGCGTTTGATGGCGCACCTTGTACGGACGCATCGGCACAGGGCACCATAAGGACACTTTTCTACAGGTTGGAGCAATGACGTGGATTCAACGTGACATTCGATCAAATGCATTAAGGCCTATAAATAGGCTGCGAAATCAGCCATTTCAATGCATCCAAAAATCCAAAAAGCATTCCTTGCAATGCGCTCTCTCTCTCTCTCTATCTCCCTCTTGATTTAGAATTTTCGATCAAAAGTTTCTAAAGTAGAAACGGTTTTGTTGATTATATCAAGAGTATTCTGATTCACTGTCGTCAGTGCAGACGCCGGTAGACTTAATCTTTAGATCAGGCTTCATTGTATCCTAGAGGCAAATATACTGTAACCCTCCTGCACACCTTTTGGTGGGTGCAAGCATCAAATTTTTGTTCTACATTGGCAAGATCATCGCTAAGTTTTGAAAATCCGAAAACCACCAATTGAAGAATTCAAGATGAATTATTCTAACAAAATGGAACTACAGAAAAAGAGGCTCCACAAAGATATCCTCATTTGCTAATATTCTAATTTTTTTTTTCCAGTAAAAGAAAAATCTTTATTGATTGCCACAACATACATCATATATAGATTACATCAATAAGTTAAAAATAAAGAGCAAAGAGTATCATAGCAAATACTTTCCTTCATCCCAACTAGATTAGTATCAAGAAAAACACCTTATCATTTGCTACTTCAAGCAAAGGAATGGGTGAGAAACCAACACCCAAAGGAAAGCATTACAAAGCAAGCCTCATCAGGCACCAATACAACAAAATTCTAATTATTTCATCAAAGCTGAGTGCCATTTTATTATGTATATTTTTGTTACTTTTGACAAAAGCTAATGAGTGCTCTTAATATTGAGAATGTGAGAAAAAAAAAATATAAAAGAATAAAAAGTGATTTAAAATTCATAAAAAATATTTTAAATTTAGTGATAAGTGTCTTGTGATACAAAAATGAATTTAACTTTTTTTTATTTTATTTATTTTTTACATTTTTTTTCTATTATTTATTTATTTTTCTATAAATTCCAAATCCAAATCTGCCTAGGTTGAGGAAATTATGGATGAGGAACTGCTATTATAGCCGTTACATTTGGTTAAAGTCAAACCAAACAAAAATAAAGAATATAAAAGGTCGATTTGGTATTTTAAGTAATAATTACTTGAACAAATAAGGCTGGGTCCAAAATGTGTAACCGTGTGATCTTATTATTTATGGTAAATTATGCACATAGCACATTTAATGAAATTTTGTGTAAATTTAATTATTGTAATTTTAATTGTATTAATTTTTTTTAATATTGCAAATGGTGTCGATTTAGTTTAACTGACAATGCCCTTATAAAAATTAGACTAAAATTAATTGGCAAAATAATCTATTCACTCTCTCAATAGTGATTGACCCTTAGCTTCTAATATTTTTTTTGAACTACTTATCTTCTAATTTTAAATGGTATATTCCCATTTGAATGGATTATTTTGCTTTTTATTTCTGTGCAATTTTTTAGGAAGTGTTATTAATTAGATTTAAATCAACATAATATAAAATTTTAATTTAAACTATTAAAATCAAATAGTCACATGAGGCAAAATACTGGAACCACCGTCGGTATGATTTTGCTATCATATATAGAGAGTTTCAAATTCATTCATTTTAGCTGTTTTTTTAAAATTTTTTATTCTTTGAATGGAATAGGTGTAAGCATTTTTTTTTAGGTGGTATGTAGCCATTCTTTCTAGGGTAAATTGCCGATTGATCATAATAATTGGATTTAATTCCCATCAAGTTCTATTGAAAATAAGTCTTGATAAAATTATTGCTAAAACTAATTTTTTTGTGACAATTTTTTATATATGTCATTAAAAATTGATAATTAGTGACTTTTTTTGGTTATGATTTTATAAATTGTCGCTAAAACTTACAATTAGTGACTTTTTTTGTGACAAATTTTTTCCATAGAACCTATTAGACAATAACTTTACTTATTAGGACCTACACGTAAATACACATTCTTTCTACTAGAATGACTGCACTAATTTTTCACATAATTGACTAGTTGTTCTAATTGTATAGAATTCGATCACAGAATTGGATACAATTACGTTTGTCATAGGAGAGTCGAATCCACACATTCAGTCATAAATTAATATTAAGATATTTTTGGTAGAATTTAAATTTTGGACAAATTGCGTCAGTCTTCTCTATATTTTAGTTCTTATGTAATTTTGGTCCTTATAATTTTAATTGGCTTGATTTTGACTTTTAATTTATGATTTTGTTTCAATTTAATCCAATTGATTATAACTTTTAGTATTTTTTATGAAAAATATGCATATAAGTGGCATTTATCATTTTTTTAGAGTAAAATTAATGTTTTATTACTCAACCAATTCAATGATTATTTTCTGTCAAAAATATTAATGCTCTGTTTGTAACGGATGACAGAAAATGAAAATAATAGAAAGTAAAGTGAAAGGAAGGAAAAAGAAATGAAAATTTATTTTCTTGCATGTATTTGAATAGATGAAAATTTTTGTAAGAAAATAATGAAAAAAAATATATATAATCACTACATAACAAGAGTTGTGGAGAGAAACATGGGCATAAAGGAAAACAAAATAAACCTTGTCTAGATTTATGGAAAAAAAGAAAAGAAAAAAAGAAGTTAATTTTAGTTTTCATTACTTTCTAGAACTTTATATCTAAACAAACAAATAATTTTTTTTTCCTTTCACATTACTATATTATCTATCTAACCAAGCTGAGCCTAATGACATTATCAATTGGACTAAATTGACACAAAATTTAAAATTAGGACGAATTACACTAACAATCCCTATAGCTTGAGACTCGTGTCACTTTGATCCTTGACTTTTTAATTGTGACACATTTGACCCTAAATTTTGAATCTTGTTCTAAATAAGGACAATTGAAGATACCATTGCTTAATTTCAAGTGAAAAATCGTCAATTTGATAAATATAAACTAAATTGACAAAAATAAATGTCAAATTTTTTTAAAAATTATTTCTACCCACCAAAGATAAAATTATGCAAAATTGATAAATCATTTAAACATTTATTTATTTATTTATTTTACCAAATTAATTTTTATTATATGTTTGGATGATGATCATGTAATAGGTAATCGATATATTTAATATATGAAATATTTTTAGTTTTGAATTTTTCGATTTAATGGATTGGTTTAATAATGATATCAAAGTTATTGTCATGTTTGACTTTTAGAAAAATAAAAACTAATTTAATGAAAACAAAAACAACCACCATTACATGATTATCATCCAAACACGTAATAAAAATTAATTTAGTAAAAATAAATAAATAAATGTCTAAAATATTTATCAATTTTACATAATTTTATCTTTAATAGATATAAATGATTTTTAAAAATTCAAAAATATTTTTTTGAAATTTATTTCTGTTAAATTAGTTTATATTTTATCAAATTGACATTTTTGCCATTGAAAAATCCAATGGTATCATCGATTGTCCTTATTTAGAACAATATTCAAAATTTAGGGTCAAATGTGTCACAATTGAAAAGTCAGGGACCAAAATGACACAAGTCCCAAACTATAGAGACTGTTAGCGTAATTCACCATTAAAATTAAGGGTTAAAATTATGCCAATTGAAAGTAGAGGGACCAAAATCACACAAAAAGTAAAATGTAAGAACCGCTGATGTAAATTTTAGAAATAAAAATGAAGAGATTTTTATAAGGAGGATCACTCCAATCCAAAATCTGGACTGGAGGGTGCTTTCAGTCCATAGGGCTCACCATAGGTCCTGTTTCGATAATTTAAATTATTCATTTTATAAGATATTTTGTGTATTTTATTTAAAAAAAAGTAAACCGATCCAAAAATTATAACTAGTTTAATTATTATGTTTGTCATAAAAAATATATATTTTTCTATTTTATTTTGTTGAAAAATATGGGAACAAAATATATAAAATATTTGACAAAATAAATAATTTAACTTATCAAAATAAACCCCGTAATAAATTTCACGGGCGAAAAGTGCTCACCAATTCAGATTTTGTATTGGACACCTCCTTTTTATAATTGAGAGGAGGACCACAAGAATTTGAAGGAGGACGAGGAGAAATAGCAAGAACAAGATAGATAGGTATCGTTTAGCACTCCTCTGTACTGTTTCTACAATGGTACCAACCGAATACGATATAAAGAAAAGCCTCAAATAACATTACATTACATAACATAACATGTGGGTATGAGAGAGAGAGAGAGAGAGAGAGAGAGCATGACTGTTATCATTTCTCTTCTCAGAGTTCTGTTAAAAGCCTTGGGATCGAAGGCAGAGATTTTAATCATGGCGTAGGGGGACTATAATCATCTCCCTGTAATTGCAGAGAGTGCGAAAAGCATAGCTCAGTGAGAGAGGAGAGAGAGAAAAACAAAAAAATGAAAAACAATTGAGATGAGTGAGTGGGAGAGAGAGAGAAAGAGATGATATTCAATCTTATATTGTGAAGGTGAAAAAAGTTTGACTGAAAAAGATTTAAAAAAATAAAGTTAGAGAGAGAGAGAGAGAGAGAGAGAGAGATCAATTTCTCTCGGGGGGGGTCTCTGAAGAAGGATTATTGAAGCTCTCTTTCTTTCTTTTCAAGGCTGCTTTGAGACGAGACTTTGAAAGAGTAAAGAGCAAACTATGAAAAGTGGGTATGAAAAGCAAACAAGGTATGTGGGTGTCACCTGAGGACTCTTTTCTTTCAAGAGTGAGAGAGAGAGAAGAGAGAGAGAGATTCCTGGGTCTGAAGCTTTCTTTGCTAGTTTAATTCTCTTAATTACTTACTCATCTTGGGATTTTCAAGCCCTTTTTAAAAATTATATACTATCATATATCATCTCATTATGGAATCTACAAATCTCCATCACCACCACCACCACCAACAACAACACCAACACCAACACCAACACCATCAGCTTCAAGATCAGCTTATTGGCTCTTCTCCTCCTTTAGCTTCCCCTTCTTGCTATGGTCTTGGAACCACCACTCATGCTTGGACTCCAATTCTGTGAGTTCACTTCTCTCTCTCTCTCTCCCTGCGTCCCTCTCTCTCTCTCTCTCTCTCTCTCATATGCTTTTTGCCTACAACTGGGCTTGCTTTAGTTTTTGGATTTGTCAATAAGAATGATTTTATTTTGGCTACTTGTTGCAAAAAATCATTATTATGATTAATCTTTAGAACTTGGAATCTCTTTTTTACTCTTCCTTGATGATTTGATGTACATCAATCAAAAGTGCCTCCAACTAGAATATGCTTTTCTTGTTGCTTCTTATTGGTTATTTACCAAGACTAGAGTATGTGGTTGTGATAATTTGGCTTGGATTGAATTGATTTAATTAGTAGAAAAATTTTATTATCTATTAAACTAGGGTTTCTGTAGTTTCTTTCTGATCTATCATCTTAACTGATTTTGCAGCAATCCTAGTAACTTCAGTCCAACCAGTAATGGAATAAGCACAAACTCAAGGGATTCAAGGCAGCAAAATGACTATCTAGTCCCTTCTCTAAACAGTTCCGTGATTCAAGACTTGGGTTTTCAATGGGCTAATGGGAACTTCACCACCACTCAATCCACTTCCCATGACTTGCACCTTGCAAGAAAAGGAGACCTCCCAGAAGATCATTATCCAAAATTTACTGAAATGATACATAGCAACACCACATCATCATCAAGCATAGAAGATTTTCACTTACAACAACAGGCGACAAGCTACGCGAAAAATGAGCAGAGAGATTTGAATGATCTGAGTGAGAAGCTCTTGCTCAGAAACTTTTCAGGGTGTCAGATCAATGGGATTCAACTTCCAGCCGGAGAATTCTACTCCGGTGGTGGCGGTGGAGCTACTGTAGCACCACCTAGTAGAGGGAACTTCAGCCAGATTTTTCCCACCATAAATATTTCCAACTTGAATCAATCGTCTTCGGCGATTTCAAGCTCAATGGACATGAACATGCAGGCTTTGGATCTCTTCACTTCTGGTAGATTTTCAGGGTGTTTAAATCAGGTTTCTCATGATAATCTTGGACTTTACAAAGACAGCCTTTCTTATGGTGTTGGTCATATGCATCAACAATCAAGTCACAACAGGCCATCAAATAGCCCTACTAGTAAAGTGGGTATTCTCTTCTTCTTCTTTCTTTCTTTTCTCCATTATGTTTTCAAGTAGCTTGGTACTAAAATTACAAGTAGTAGTAGTTCTAGTTAAGGTAGTTGTACTTTGGTGTATTTACTAAAACCATATTATATGATAATTTTTCTGAGATTTTGATGAAGATTTTTTCTTAATTCTTATTTTCTTTGATGAAATTGTTTCCTCAATCCTTATTATCTTCGTGTATTTCATTGTTTCGAAGTTAATAAAATTATCATTTTGCCGACCAAAAAATTAAAAAAAAAAATTGAATTCACTTAGAGACCTCTTCTCCATGAACATTTTAACCTTTTAATATCTGAAATATTGCAATTTAAATTCCTAGGGATGTTGATACATGTATTGAATTGAATACAACCATATTATTATTATTTGGAATAATTCTTAAGAAAATAAGAGAAACAATGAGTTTTATCAAAATGTTGTGTGTGTGTGTGTGTGTTTGGATTTCCATGGTTATGCATTTGGAGAACAAAGAAAAGCCACAACACTTTTAATTTTCTCTTCCTTTTTTTTTTTTTTTTTTTTTAACAAAAAAAGAAAGGAAATTTTTTTTTTTTTTTAACAAAAAAAGAAAGGAAAAAAAGAAAAAAGAACCATTATTAATTGAGCAATATTTGGAATGGGCTTCTGTGTAAACTTCTGTGTGAAAATGATCCGATTTTATATTTTGTATATATATATTTTAGTTCCCTATCTAAGAAAAATATAAAAAAATTTATATATTGTTTATATATTAACAAAAAAAGAAAGGAAAAAAAAGAAAAAAGAACCATTAAAAGGAAAAAGCCTTCTCTTTATTGGTTTATAAGGGGTACTTTCAGCTTTATACATTATATGCATTTTTTTTTTCTCAGAAATTCAGCTTTCTTTTTTGAAAAAGATTAATGGTGAGATTTCCACATTTATTCAGCTGATCTTTACTCTTTGCATTTTGAAGATATCACCCTTCACTAGTGGAATCACAGAAACTAAGAGACCCAGCAGTCATTTGGAGCCAAATGGGCCTCCGGCAGCACAAAGAATCACGATCCGATTCACGCTATTCTGCCCACCCTTTAGGTAGCGAAGCAAGAATCAGTCTCAAAGTTAGGATTTTAAATATTATCCAATACATATTGTGATTTTCAATGTCAATATTTATTCACTAATATATCAATTAATACTGTCTGATATTAGCCAAAATATGAACCGCACTCATAATACTGCACAAAATACAAATACAAATACAAAAGAAGTTGTCTTAACCTTGTTAGAAACATTATTTACTCAAAAATAATTGGGGGCTGTAATAAAGGTGTTCTAATGAGTTTTAATAAGAGTGAGTCCAACTGTGATATGATGTTTTGATTTTTTTTTTTATTTCTTATTACATTATTAGAACTGAATTAAAGCTCTAAAATTAAAGGATGTATTATTGCTGCTATTTGTTGTAAATAAATTTATGTAGGCAGAAAATTTTCAGAGTCTGAAAATCTTAGTTCATCGATTAATTCATGTATGGTTGTTGTGTTGAATTGAACCAGGTTAGAAAAGAGAAATTAGGGGATAGAATTGCAGCTCTTCAACAGTTGGTGGCTCCTTTTGGGAAGGTAGTGTTTTTGAAGCTCATATACTTGAATGAATGAAGTGATCAGCGTGGAGTTTTCAATTAAAAATAGTATTTTATTTTTAGTAAAAATATATGTTTTTCATGTGGGTGGGAGAATATGGCAGACAGACACAGCATCAGTACTAATGGAGGCTATTGGGTATATCAAATTCCTTCAAAACCAGGTCGAGGTATTTTCACTTCCCAAGAAACATTCTTCTTGGTATTATCTCTCGCATATAAAACAAGACTAAATATATGAAAATTTTTAGTACATAGAATCTCATCACAGGAAAAAAAGAATTTAACATGAGAGCTGTCTCATCAAAGAGTAATGTTAGGCATTATAAAAAAAGTGTCATAAAAATGATTATAAAAGATTTTTCACATTTAAATTATACATATAATAAAACATCACACATTAATCAAATGATGAAAATTTTTTATAATGTATTTCATGATATTTTTTTTTATAATCCTTAATATTACTCCTTATCAAATGTGGCTCTTTCACTGGCAAGTCTTACTCTGAGAAGATTATGGATTCTTTTGAATATGATTTATAAGTTGATTTTTTTTTTTATTTATGTTAAAAAGATATACAGAAAAGTAGAGAGGTGATATAATTTAAATAAGTTAATAAATTAAGTGGCATTTGATAGAACCAAAGACTAAAAACTGAATATTAAGTATTGAAAGATGAATGCTGAATTTTTTAAACTAAAAAACTGTTTGATAAAAATTTAAGTACTGAACTAAAAATAAATTATTTGATATGTATAAAATCAAATTTGAAAGTAATTATTTTCAAATTGTATATTTCAAATTTTATATTAGTGGTGACGGTGGTGGCGGTGGTGCTGGTGGTGATAATGATGGTAGTAGTAGTGGGGTGGCATGATGATGGTGGTAGTAGCGGTAGTATTGATGGTGGCGACGATGATAGCAGTAGTAAAATGATAGTAGTATTTATGATAATAATAACAATGGCAATGAATGCGGTGGTAGTAGTGGTGGTAGTAGTGGTGGTCGTGATAATGGTAATGATGGTAGTGGTAGTAGTAGTGATGGTAGCATAATGGTGATGGTTGTGGTGACACGATGGTGGTGGTGGTGATAGTGTAGCAATAATGACAGGAATAGCGGTAGCGGTAACGGTAGCGGTAGCGATGGTGATAGCGATGGTGTTAGTGGTTGTGGTGGGGGCATGATGGTGATGAGTTTATAATATTGCATATTGACGATTCTGTCTATTATTTATAAATTTAGTAAGAATTAAATAAGTTTATTATGATTTAAAATTTTCTTAAGTTTTATCCTACATTTTAAGAGACGCTTAAATTTTTAAATGATATTAATTGTGATTATCAAACGGACTTAATTGATTACCACTTAGTTTTAAGTTCTGAATCAAGTTATCAAACAACTCCTAATAAATTGTTTATTTATGGTGTCTAACTCTGCACATGTAAAAAAAATTAAGGAAATTTACTTGTAAATCCTAATAGATGGACTTATTGTCCAATATGTCCTATGATAATTAATGACATTTTTCATAAAACACTATTAAAAAAGTTCACAAATTGTTAATTTTTAGCAATAATTTAAAAATTGTGTCACAAAAAATGTCATTAATTATAAGTTTTAGCAATAGGTTAAAAAAATCGTCACAAAAAAAGTCACTAGCTGTAAGTTTTAGCAGCAATTTATAAAAATCATAATTGTCAATTTTTAATGACATATGTAAAAAAAATTGTCATAAAAAATTATTTTTAGCGATGATTTTATTAGGACTTATTTTTAATAAGACTTAATGAAAATTAAGTCTAACTATTAGGACCTATTGATAATTTATCCAAAAAATTACTTATATGTATGTATATACACATGAAGAAAGCTAAAATATGTATTCAAATTCTATTTTTTTTAAATATTATTTGGTTCTTAACATATATTAATGAGCGATTGATAGCAATATACAAATAAATATATCAATAAATTTAGGTATCCATAATTAGTACAAAAATGTAAATAATTCAAATTTATTGTAAATGTGAACATGAATTCTCACTGTATAGAAATTTAATCAAAACCTACTATATAAAAATTAATATTATTTAATTTATGATTCCATTTAAATACTCAAATTTTTATCACTGCGAGTCCCATAAATTAGAAGGGAAAAAAAAAAAAAAAACAAAGAAGAAGAAGAAGAAGAAGAAGGGAGAGTTTATAAAACAAAATTCATTTGTATAAAAAAAATTATGTATGATAAGATTGACTCAATTTGGTTATTCAGTTTTCAAGTTGTATTTTTTATTTTTAATATTTCGGTTATTTTTATTCTTTTAATATAAATTCAATACATTTTTTGTATTTTTTTAATTAAATTTTTAAAGATTTCTTCACAAATATATTTTTAAGTACATCTATATTAGATGTATCTAAAACATAAAAAATAAAAAATTGACCAAGCCATTAAAAAATTTACTACAAATAAAAAATACTAATTTAAAATTCAAAATTTAATTTTTAAAATTGAATAACTAGCAGAGTGATTGACCAAACAACTAAAAAATTGAATAACTAGCAGAGATTCTGTACATTTTAAAAAAGAAAAAGAAAAAGGAAGATATATATATATATATATATATTGTGTGCCTGTATAAGGACGTGAATTTATGATCGATAATGTGGTAGGGTTTGCTGGAAAGCACGCACTTCTTTTTTGGATTCTTTCACTTGGCAAATCGAGAGACCTAACTAAGAAGTTGACTATTTTAGTTATTTATTTAATTATTTTAATTTGATTAAAATAGTTATGTTTAAAATTTTGATTAATTTTATTTTTTTAAGTTGATTTCATGGTTGTGAGAAAAAATGTAAAATAATTATAAATTATATATATGACATTTTATTTTATTAATTATTTTTATTTATTTTATGCATTAGTAAATTAACTATTTTAGTCTATCCATCTTCTCAAACACCCCTATATTTATACTTTAACTATTTTTTTAATTTTATTATTACTATTTTTTTAAAACTTTGTAATGGTTTTATCCAGTCTCCATTTTTCAACTCATTTCACTTTATTCTATATTTTTTAAGCAGGAAAGTTTAGGATTAGGAGACAACCAGGACATTTGACGTAACAGCTTTTATAATGTAAAATTTCAGATTTAATTATCTTAAAAAAGAGTTTGATATCATTTACGATAATTTATTTAAGTTAGTTGGATTGGGCTTGGATTTAAACTAATTGGTTTATTAATTGTTTAGCTTTATTGACTTTTTAGGTTCGTTAATCATTAGACTTTGTTAATTTTTTAACTATTGTGGATTATAATGGGAGTTATATGTAATTAGGCCTCCTTTGGTAACTACAAGTTTTATTTAAAAAGTCAAAAAATTATTATAAATTATTACATCACTCTATTATTTTTCTGTAAATTTTTTCATAAAAAATTAAAAATTTATTAAAATAATTTGTTCTCAAATGAGGCTTTAGTAGTGATTATGTTGGGTTGGGCTTGAGCTTGGAGTAGTTGATTTATTGGTTGTTAGCCTGGCAATCTTTGTTGACTTTTTTTATTTTATTTTATAACTATTGTGAACTAATTGCCGCTTTGATAATGGAAATATTTCTTATATTTGTTATTATTATCTTATCAATTAACAAAAATAATAATAATCATTCGGTTTGGTTTTGATTTTCAAAAAATTTTATTTTTTGTTTTTCGTATTTTTTGGCCTTCACTGAATTTTTAAAAATATTTTAAGTATTTTTTTAAAAAATTTTAGACACACCTAACATAAATATACTTAAAAAGTATAATATTTGTGAAAAAAATCTTTAAAAAATTCACTAAATACCAAAAATATAAAAAAATAAAAATTCAGTACATTTTTCATATTTTTGTGTATTTATTAATTTTTTAAAATATTTTTTCATAAATATTTTACTTTTTAGATACATCTAAGTAAGGTATATCTAAAAAAATTATTTAAAATTTTAAAAACATAAAAACAAAAAAAATATGAAAAATAAAAAAAATAATTTTTAAATAATTAAATTTAGAAAATTGAAATCAAACACACTGAATAAGATTACGAGTTGGGATCCTTTAATTATTATGGTGGATAGTTAATTAGGTTGACTCAACAATTTTAATGATTCGATTATGAGTGATGTTTTACATAAATGAAATTATTTTTTTTTAAAATTCTCTTTAAATTTGGATCACAATAACATGACAATTGTGTGTATAGTTTTCATTTATTACACATATAATCCATATCCACATTATTGATTTTTTTTTTTTTCAATTAAAAACTATGAGACCTACCTTTGTGTCTAAGGTAAGAAACATGGTAAAAATATATTTGATTTTTTTTTAATAACATTTTTCTTAGATTATTCTTAATTAGGTTTCCTTTGGGAAGTGAGTTGACTTTTTGACTTCTTTTTTTTTTGTTTTGGGTTAAAAAGTTTCGTTTGGGTTGAGTTTTTTGATTTTTTTTAACTTTTGTGAGAGAAAAATGAAATGATTATAGTATGGATGTGACAGTTTGTCTTATTAATTTTTTAGTCAATTTTTTTTTTTATGACCATTTTAACCTGGTAGTCTCATGCTAAACGAGGGCTTAGAAAAGTAAAAATAGTAAGGAAAGTGAAATTGGTCACATTTGGGAACATGTTAATTTAGCCTGTGTTTGGCAAGTGGGTTTGCAGGCTTTTTTGGCTATTTTAACCACAAAAAACAAAATAGACTATTTTAGCCATAACAAACAAAACATCACATCCAACCCATAATCATTACATTCTTCTCTCACAAAAAAACTCAAAAAAGCCAAAAAGCCAAAAAGCTATTCCCAAACCAAACTTTTAAGCCCAGGCTAAAATAGCCAAAAAAGCCAAAAAGCCAAAAAGCCAACCCACTTCCCAAACGGAGGCTTAGTAACTTTTTGGCTATTTACCTAAAATATGAGTTAAAAAAAAATTAGGATGTTTGAGATGACTTTTTAACTTTTTACCAAAAAAAAAGTGGAAAAAGTAGAGAGAAAAGAGAATCTTTAACTTTTTGATATGAGCTGTTGGCTTTTTGATTTTTTTAGTAACTTTTTGACTAAACCGGCCTGTTGCTAAATGAGGCCTGAATAAATGGGGGGTTGGTGTGAAACCATAATAAAGCAAGCCTTCGTTTGGGATATATGTTGAATTTTTAACTATTTTTGACAAGTGATTTTTTTAGTCAAAAAGTCAAAATATCAGTAAAAAATTAAAAAGTCAATAACCTATGCCAAAAAATCAAAGATTTCTCTTTCTCTTTACTTTTTGCACATCTTTTTGTAAAAAATTAAAAAGTCATCACAAACATACTATTTTTTTAACATCATATTTTAGCCAAAAGTCATACACAAAAAATTTGTTCCCAAACGAGACTGCCTGAGACTAAAAAGTCTCGTTTGAGATGAATTTTTTTAATTTTTTAAATTTTTATAAAAAAAAAATAATTATAATTTAGACATGACATATTATCATATTGGCTAAAAAGTCTCATGATGTACACAAGGTCCTAAATCATACTGAGAGCATGATCATAGGCTTTTGTGGTTTGCAAAAGAAAACCGAGTTCACTTTAAAGGTCATGCATGATCATAGGCTTTTTGTTTTTTTTTTTTCATTCTTGCAATACCAGCCCCAGTCATGCATTTGTTCTATATGGCAAGGTTTGGTTATGGTGTGCAACTTACACCTTACACTTTATCCAGCCCCAGTCATGCATTTGTTCTATATGGCAAGGTTTGGTTATGGTGTGCAACTTACACCTTACACTTTATATCTTACACTTACACCTTTTGTAAAAAATTAAACCTTACACTTACACCTTTTTTGAGGTTGCACACTATGTGCAACCCACTTACACCTTACACTTATACCTTACACTTACACCTTATACTTATACTTACACCTTACACTTACACTTTTTGTGTAAGTGGCACATGGTGTGCACTTGCACACTTAAGAAAACTCCATATGGGCAATAGTTATACACAAATCTTACAAAGAGCTAGAACACAACAATTACAATATTTAAGAGAGGTGTTAGGGAAATTATTATTTTTCTTTATTCCTCTCTTTTCGAGCAAGCTCTTTTGGTTTATGGAGAGGGAAATAAAAAATAAATAAATAAGAAAATTACTTAACAGTGGGAAGTTGGGAAAATTATTACATATATGTATATTAAAAAGTTTATAATTTTAGTTATTAATATTGATAAAATTTATTATTAATTTGTAATTATTTTTCAAGTTTTACACCGATCTGAAATTTTCCCAAAATTTGTAAGTCTTTTCCATTTCAGACTGTAACGATGTGTTTGGCTTATGAATTTGAATAGGGATTCAAAAAGATAAAGAAAAATAAAAAATATAGGTAAAATGCATTTTATCTATATTTTACACACCATTTTTCTTTTTCTTTCAAATCACTACCTAAGATCACGAATCAAACACAATTTTATTAAATTAAAAATTCTTATTTAATTAAAACTAACCTACACTTATCCCACCACATTTGACAATAGTATTCACATAACAGATACACAATAACCCAATAACTAATATGGATCATACTTGTTATAATGGGTTCAATTTAACCACATGTTCATTGTAAGCTATATATTCAACCCATGTTTCACGAACCAAAAACACAGTGATTAATGTGAGCCCATATACAGAAAGCAAGCTAAACATTTTATAGCAGTTAGCTAGCTTTGTCAACAAAATTTTCTTTCCTTCAAGCTCATGTCAAAACTATTGCATGCTAATATGATTTTTTTTTTTTATTTTAAAAATGGTCACAATATCCCAATAATTATTCAAATATTCATACTTATAATCTGTTTTTTTTACTGTTGAGTTTTGAATTTGTTTTTGGCAGACACTAAGCGTCCCTTACATGAAGTCATCCCGCAACAAGACCAGTAGAACAATCCGAGGGGTACGCAGACACTGATTACTCTCTCTCTCTCTCTCTCTCTCTCTCTCAATACACATTATACATGTCACATGTCAGGCATTTAAGAGAGAGAAAGAGAGTTTTTTTCTTGAAACAATTAAAAAAAAAAAAAAAAAAAAAAAAAAAAAAAAAAAAACAATGAGTTAATTTGGTATGGAAATCATCAACCAGCTCCATCAATAGAGCCAATAGACCAACAAAACCAATCTTGTAGACAGCAGCATGAAAAATTCAGGGGAAATCACAATCCAATGCAATTTTTCAAAAAAAAAAAATTCAATTCAATGGTAAATCTTATACACTGTAATAATTAAATTTATAACCATTTTCATTAATCTGTAATTTTTGTTTTTATGAACATATCACTGAAGTGTATTTCTCCCTAAAATTAATTACATTTATTTTCACTTTCCACCCATCATCTATTATTCACACCGGTTAACTAGACTCTAATTTTGTTCACACAAAATTTAGAGACAAAATATTTTAATTGTCAAAAAGTATTATAGATGTATTTTTAGTGACAAAATTAGACATTTAGTAATGAATTACTATTCTTTTACAATAAAATTTTTTGTCTTAGAAAGTAGATTTTTTGGACGTGAAATTGTTTTGTCCCTAAAAATATATTTATTAGTAACATTTTTAAATATGGCCAGTAAAAGTCATTTTTTTAACTTTTCAACACGATGTTTTAATGATGATACACTAATGATCTCAGGGTCAAGGTTCAGCTATTCAAATTCATGGAAACGAAGAGCCAAAGAGAGATCTCAGAAGTCGAGGGCTTTGTCTCCTGCCCTTGTCATGCTTGTCATACGTGACTGACGGAGGTGGTGGAGTTTGGCCACCTGCTAACTTTAGCACAGGCATTTGATGAACGCATGTTTGTGCATGCCGAAGACATATATATGATTGAAATTAGGGCAAGATAAAACAGTGCTGAATCTTTTTAGCCGGTGTTTGGCTAGCTAGGAACCTTGAGAATTCATCGTTCATCATCGCTTCCTTCATTTCATTGGAGCAAATTTGGTCATCCTGTAAAACCAAGATCCCAGGATGGACCAAGTTTGATCCATTGATGATTTATGTATGATCAATTCTGTGTTTGAGGACCATCTTTCTTGTTGTTTATGTACACTGATTCTATTGATAGTTCTATAGACAATCTAATTCTGTGTTAGTTAAAATTAATTTTATTTTAGCTAGCATTTTTACATGTATTTTGCTATTAGCGTACATGTCAACCCTTTTTTTAGCAAATTATAATTTAAGTTTCAAACGTATAGTTTAGAAAAATTAGTTTAGATAGTGACACGAATAGATGTAAGAAAACATATAGTTGTTTTTATTTTTATTTTTCAAAAAAAAAAAAAAAAAAAAATCCCCAAGAAAGGAGGCATGGCACCCAGTTATTTGATTTTTTAACCACTATTTCTGTTTGGGAGCTTGTATGCTTAGTTGATCTTGTGCCAGTCCCAGTGACAATGGCTTTTACTCGTAAGTATTGTATCAATAACCATTCAACTTGTCTCCAGTTTTTAAAAGAGGATTGGACTGTTCATTTCGGGCTCTACTTCATGAGTTAATTTGTTCATATTGTAGGTCTCACTATAGGAAATTGCACTTTTACAGACTAAAAATTTGGTCAGCAAAAGTCTATTTTTAGTTAGCAAAAGTTATCCGCGATTAATTTTTTTAGTTGCCACTTTGGTCCCCAATTGAGGGTCGACAAAAGTAATTAACGACCAAAACTTTTTTTAGCCGGGAAAAAGTTAGATTTACTGACTAAATTCTTGGTTGCTAAATATATCATTACTGCGACTAATCTATTTAGTCGCTAAAATACTTTAGTCGTGAAAGTGACATATTACCGACCAAACATGTTAGTCGCCAATTGTCACATTTCACGACCAAACATGTTAGTCGCCAAAAGTCACAATTCACGACCAATAGATTAGTCGCCAAAAGTAATGTTTGCGTGACTAAAAGTTTAGTCAGCAATAGACCTATTTGCGACCAAACTCTTTGGTTGCCAAAATTAATAATTTTACCGACTAATTATTTAGTCGCCAAATGTACCCTTTTGCCTACCAACATTTTGGTCGGCAAAACCACAATTTGGTCACCAACATCCAACAAAATAAACCTGTAATTGAAGACAAATATTTCATCCAATCCATTCAATATAATCTGTAATTAAAAAGAATCATTCATACCAACAAAGTATCTGAATCTTGAACATTCAACAAATACATAATTCATCTAATCCTGAACCTATTTAATAAAAGTTAGCAACTATTATAAGTTTTCATCCACAAGTAATTCCAAAGTACATATTCCTCAAATTAAAATTTCAATTCACATCCTGACTAGCATAAAAATTTAAAACATAACAAGTACTTGTTATTATGTTTTAAATTCTTATCCATGCGCATCTATCAAAAAATATAACTAATAGTGTATCCAAATATTTTCCATATACACCCATCCAAAAATATAACTACTAATCTATCGAAATATTTTCTATACACATTTATCCAAAAATATATAATCCTTCAAAAAATGCTTATAGTGCCAATTAATCTTGTACAATTTAGCTTCGTGCACGAGTTTATCCATCTATACCAAAGAAAAAGAAAAAGAATGTAAGAATTGAGCAATCATTAAACCTTGTTTGTCTAAAATGTGGTAAAACACTTAAAATTTTACTTTCAAACTGAAGGGATGGACCTCCTCCCCAAAAGACTACATAGATAGGATTTGAGAATTAGTCACTACAAACTAAATCTTTGTTTGGATGCTTCTAGTAGATTGTCCAATACTGGAGAAGAAGAAGAATAAGAAGAAGAAGAAGAAGACAAGAAAAATTAATATTATCTAAACAAAACAAGAACAAGATTAGAGGCATCCAATAATGTAGTATCTAGTTGGCCCATCTTTAAAAGCCAGCAGAAAAATCAAATTGCAGTCTATGCGATACATAATGTATGGTAATGCTCTCTACAAAAGGGGGGCAGATAGGTTATTATTGGAATGTTTAGGTTCAAATGAAGCATTGATAGCCATGGCTGAGGTTCATGAAGGCATCTGTAGTACTCATCAGCCTGGTGTGAAGATGAGATGGCTGCTTCGAAGGCATTCTTACTATTGGCCAACCATCCTTAAGAATTGCATAGAATATGCTAGAAGTTGCCAAACATGCCAGAAGCATGGCGCAATAAGACATGTACCTATAACTGATCTACATGTAGTTGTAAAGCCTTGGCCGTTTAGAGGATGGGCCATGGACATGATAGGGGAAATACACCCACCCTCTTCGAAGCATCATTGTTTCATCTTAGTAGCCACAGATTACTTCACTAAGTGGGTCGAAGCTAAACCGAATAAGGCTGTAGACCAGACTGTAGTTATTGGATTCATTAAAGATCTGATCCACAGATTTGGCATCCCACAGACCATAACTGTTGATAATGGGACTGTATTTGATGGGAAGATGGTAAAATCTTTCGTGGTAGAATTTGGAATTAGTCTTGTTAATTCCACCCCCTATTATGCACAAGCCAATGGCCAGGCAGAATCATCCAATAAATCCTTGAAGAAAGGAATACAAAAAGTTATAAAAGACAATCCTAGGGATTGGCATAACTTACTATTGGATGTACTATGGGCCTACAGGACATCTCCAAGATCAAGTACAGGAGTTACTCCTTATGCCTTAGTAAATGGGCATGATGCAGTGTTACTTGTAGAAATTAACATCAAGTCTTTAAGGATGAGAGGCCAGGATCAGTTAATTCCTGAGCAGTACCATCAGAGTATGTACTTGGAATTAGAAAGTATGGATGGAGCTAGAATTCTGGCTTTAAATAACATTCTTTTCCAAAAAAAGAAAGTAACCAAAAACTACAATAAAAAGGTCAAGCATATTAGCTTTGATGACGGTAATTTGGTATGGAAGACAATACTCCCAATAGGAATCAAAAGCCATAAGTTTGGAAAGTGGTCACCTAACTGGAAAAGACCATATCAAGTTCATAGAGTCTTACCTTTATGAGCATATCATTTGAAAAATTTGAATGGATATGTGCATCCCAAGAAAATTAATGGCAGATTTTTGAAGCCTTATTATCCAACCATATGGGAGACATAAGGAATAGAATAAATGCCAAATAAAAGAGCACGGAAACACTCAAATAATAAATAAGGATTTTATTTCATAATAAGTTGAATACATGTAGCCATAGATTGGCCCAAAAGTCAGTACAATGTTTCAGTTGTTCCTTTACAATAGATTTTCTACTCTTAAGAGATAGGAACAACTAAATGGCTGTAGCCATATCCTGTTTTCGATCAGCCAGTTCTTGGTTGGTGATCTGTAGCTTGGTAGCAGTTCGATCCAAAGCCTGATTGACTGCTAATAATTCTTCTTCAAGTTGAGCTTTCTTCTCTAGTAGTTGAGCTCGGAATTAGGAGACAGAGGAATGTTGCTCCTTCAGTTCTGACACTTTAGCATGAATTTGAGAAACAAAACTCTGGTCTCTCAGTAATTTTTCCTCTGCGGCCTTGGCAACATGGCAGATGTTGATGTAGAAATCAATAATGGCTGTCGCCTGAGATAAATGACTTAAAACAATCATGTTGGATTGCTTAACAATCTTACAGCACTGGAGGAAGCATTTCTGATTATAGGCCTTTGTAAAGCTTCGAAAGGAATCCTTGAGAAGGATGTCAGCAACTCCAAATAGCTGTCCAAGTCTATTGAATGTAAGAAAGTCTTACTACTGGAGGAAGAACTCTAAAAAATTTCTAGTAAAGAATCAGCCAGGACTAATGGCTCAGTCTTATTGCTAGCTATTGGAGAGGTGGAAGGTATGTCAAAGAGACTAGCTAGCCTAGCTTCGAAGATGTCCACCTCATCCGTTGACATGGAGGGTGCAAAAAGAACTCTGGTAGAAAGAAGAAACGGCTGTATAGGAGTAGGAGAAGAAGGTGAAGTACTCTTAGCAGTCTCTATAGTTTTGGCTACCAGTAGCTCAAGAGAAGAGGGACTGGTGCTAGGCAGAGATAACGGACGAAGAATTAGAGGGCTACCAGTGTCTGCTCTATAAAAATCAGCCATTACTGGAGATGATGTAATAGCTGGAATTTCCTCAGGAAGGGAAGGAACGGCAAGGCTTAAAGGAAAAGAAAATTGAGTGGAATTGAAATAAAAGTGAGGAAAGTTTGAAGTCAAGCCAAAGGATAGGGATGCAGGAATGTTTGGTCTCAAGAAAGGTATGGAAAATATAGGGCCAGGAAATGGGAGTATTATTTGAATGGGCTCTACCTTTTGAGGTTGTTCAACTTTAGTTGAAACTGAAGGAATCTTTATTGGAAGAGTAGGCAAAGTAGTTGTTGCTGCAAAAGAAGAAATACAAAACAATGTTAGGTCTCAGTACCAATAATTTGAGAAAAGAAAGTGGAAACATAAAAGGAAATTACTCATTTCAGAGGTGGTGGCAATGATGGGAGAACTCCGAAGGGAATAATGCTCGGCAGTATGTTGTCTTCTTGCAGTTTCCCTTTGGATTGTATCAACAGCAGTTGCTTTATCCCTTAGCAGTTGCTGCTGTCGCCTTTTTTCAGCCCTCTGGAAAATAATTATTTCCTTAGAATGTTCCTTCTCTATTGCTTCAACAGCTGCTTCATGAGTAAGGTCTTCAACCAAGTCATAAGGAGAAACAGTTATCTTCTTTCTCTTTTTTCTTTGCAATGGTATTTCCTACTCTTTCTCTGCCTCTTTCTCTTCAATCTAAGATTCAGACTCCTCAGGAGTGAGTATTAGTTTTCTTTTCTTTTTCTGCTAATGTTTGTCTTTGAGAATAGCTAGGGCTT